GTCATCATCGTCATCTTCGTCTACTCCACCGGCACTGTCTACATCTACTCGAAGACCCGATCCGGATACTTCGTTCGGTTCTCCACTGTCTGTGCCACTGCTGGCTCCACTACTCAAACTGTGTTGACTCATGCTAACTACTTCATCTTGCACGACGGAGGTAGAGTCGGAAATCGAACGCATCATCATAGATGAATTGGGACCGAGCGGTTTTTGATCATACGTACCGTATGGGCCCGTATTCAGATGCATATCATGCAAATGTGTTTGTCCCATTGGGTCACGAATTCCACTCGGATCCAAAGTCTCATAGGCATAGGAGAAATCTAAACCGTTCTGAGCCGATAGGGCTAGAAAATTACTCATCGATCCGGGATGTATTGACGAGGAAGCCGATTGGATTTCCGACGGACAGTGAATCGATGGTGGCGGTGGAACCATCGGTAGACCTCGACCGAGAATTGGTGGAAGTTTTGGTGAGGAGGACGAAGTAGTTTCATTTCCACCGGGACGAACACGACCATCATCGTCGGATGAACGATGCTCGTCTGCGGTCCCTGGACGAAACAGTGTGGCAGGCGCGAATGGCATACTACGTGTGGGCATAGTGTATAGCGCTTCGGCCAGATCAGCGGCACGTTTCAAAATGATCTCTCGAGGGAGACGTTCCGGATCACCTGGATGACGAGGAATTATTTTGCATAGGCGCTGGAAACCATATTCGATCGTGGGATCAGTTATGGCTAAAAGGGAACGACAGTATATACATTCATTTAGTATAAATTTGACATCACTAAATATGGCATAAAATGAAAAAATTAGTTTTTTGGTGAAGCAGTGTTTTTGAGATAATTCAGCTTTAACTCCTTTTGAAATTTCCAGCAGCACTTCGAAGAGATGACATGTAATCAAATACAAGGACACTGAACATCTCATTGAATAGCGTTATGGAACCGAAATCGCATGGATTACGTGATACCAAAAAGCAATAACCAGACCCTGTTTTTACCTCCTCTTAAGTCCGAAATTCCCCAGGTTGGTGCATTAATCTATTCAAGTTGACCTCACCAGCCTCATATGCCATTTGTGGGTGACAAAACATTATTGACCCCATCCGAGAGCCATGATGAGATAAATGGCCCCGCTGACATATGAAACAACCGTTATCGTTAATGGTTCAATTCGTCATTCATCAACTATGCACCGGTCTAGATTGTGAAAAGCCTGAGCCTCTTATTCGTTCCATATTCTGAGTTGATGTACGTTACTAAGAATGTCCCTATTCTCTTAGATTCAGCTTGCCACAAAACGCAGGACATTACCTGCCCAATCCATATTGAATCTTCTATGAGACTGATCCATTTGGTTGATAATTTTAAATTCATCAAACCGAACTGATTCTATCCAATCTCGAGGATGTGACAGGCCATGAGGCTCCTGATATGGGCTACAATGATCTGTCTTCCTTGAATAGGAGTGAGTTTAAAAGTTGCATTGTCAAATACACAAGAGTCCATAATTTAAGCCAAAGATGCATGAGTAAATCGGGGTCTCCCTCTCTTTCCTGCATCGAATATCCAAGTATTCCAATTAATCCATTGATTGAAGTGTGGATTTCATAAGAATAATTAGGCGAAACCCTCTCAAGTACGCAAAAATTTGTAAGTGTTTGGGGTGGTATGAATATTTCTTGCTCCGACCGCTCACCATTCTTTTATTATTGATAATGAGAGAGTTACAGGCATGAATCAACTATGCATGACCTTCAGGTGATTCGATTTCATCGGCTTCTAGAGTTTAACTACTGATAAAGATGACAGTAGTCATTATTATTACTCAAGGAACGATGGAGTCAATAAAATTCCATCGAACCAACGGTTAGCACTCTCATTGTTTGACCCTATAATAATTGCGCGCATTTCCTGATATTAAAATTATCATGGTTTCTAAATACAAGTTCCCAAAATAATCGTACCACCCACTCATGCTAATGCATGAACAAAGTATGTGTTGGTAGTTTGTACAATCAGCAATCAGTCACTGAGGGGATTCAAACTCCTTTGTACTGCGTCCGCTAAGAGTTGAAAGTAGGTAACAGGACAAATATCTGACTACCAATCACATTTTTTTGTCCATTAACCCATAAGTTAATGCTTGTGATGGAATTTGTCAGATGGCAGCGTATACTGAATAAATAGTGGTTACGCATTAGCAACAGTAACCGAAATTCAAGGGCTGGTGGAATCAGATCACTTGAAAGCATTGTGTACGGGCAAAGGGCGCTAACTGTATTCAGTAACTATTGCCCATTGAACAGCTTGTTACCTGGGACGATGCAAAATCATGAATTTAAATTGAGTAACTGATGTAATAAATCGCTTGTTTTTGTTTCTTTCTTTTGAGGCCGTTTTTGTGAAAGCGATATTACAGCGACGCAATGGAGGGCCTATAGTCTAGAAGAAGAGCCTTGTGTAGCTTGTTAAATAAGCTACCTAAAGGTGTCATACAGAACAGGAGAAGACGTCAAAAAATGACTAAAAAATACTGTTCGTAATCGAGTCCCGAGATGCTAATAAGAAAGTGTCAACTTAGGTCCCTTAATGGGAGCTGCAAACGTCGATAGATCAGGCCCGATTTGCGGAGTAAAAATCCTGTCCTTCGTGAATCATTTACCGGGATTGGTACAGATGAATAGAAAATGTGTAACGAAATATTCTGTATCAATGGGATTAATATCATTTAACGGTTACTTTTATCTCGATAATCAATTTTCAGTTTTCACATGATTCACATGATTCGTGTTTGGCTCTATCAAACTACGAAGTTGCCGTGTCAGTTTCAATCTGCGGGTCAAACGACCTCTGTGACTCCACTATTGTGCATGATTACCCTACCGAAATCAAAAATAGTAAAATACCTTGGCGTCACCCTATCACACAATTTATCATGGTCACAGCACGTTCAAAACACATTCTGTAAAGTTAGAGAGCTTTCATATTTCTCACTCCGATTGAGATTACTTTCTGTTCCCCACAAGCTGATTGTTAGATTTGTGAATGCATGCGTGCTACCCCACTGGTTGTATTGCTCTCCAGTAATTTTTCCCGGTATGTTGAAGAAAGACTTTTATTTACTGGCGAGATCTCTAAAACACATCTCTAAATGTAGTGGCATTGTCAGGGATAAACTGGCCGATTCCATCATTGACAGACACCTACAAACATGTGAAAATTTCGCCGCCNTCACTCCGATTGAGATTACTTTCTGTTCCCCACAAGCTGATTGTTAGATTTGTGAATGCATGCGTGCTACCCCACTGGTTGTATTGCTCTCCAGTAATTTTTCCCGGTATGTTGAAGAAAGACTTTTATTTACTGGCGAGATCTCTAAAACACATCTCTAAATGTAGTGGCATTGTCAGGGATAAACTGGCCGATTCCATCATTGACAGACACCTACAAACATGTGAAAATTTCGCCGCCAAAGTACTCTCAGAAACTCACCACCCATTACACAATGAATTTTCAACAGCTGTATCTACATCATCCACACGCCCCAGATTTAAACTTTTATTTGCACGTACCTGTGCTTATCGCAATTCTGTTCTGCCATATCTAGCACGTCTACTAATAGACAAGGACACAATTTCCACAGAATTGCGCAGTTGCTTGCTTTATTGAGAAACACAATATCTACTGCTTTCATTGTGTTCACTATGTACGATTTTGTAAATTTGAATCCACAAATATGGTGTAATTGCTGAAAATACACCCATCCGGGTGCATAAAAGCTACTACTGAAAAAAATCACCAGGAATTCATCACATTAAAAGAACAAACAGTATCATACAGACAGACACCAATCATGGACAGTTTGTGAATTTAAATTTCCGCAGACTTAAATGGACTGAGAAGAATACACTTTATATCTCTATAAATTTACAGTTAGCGACATTGTTGCCATATATACTTTTATAACTTACCAAAATAGTACTAATTATCGTACTCCATTTCTCACATATTTTAAAATGAGCATCATTCGTTTCGTTCGTTTTTTTGAATAAATGTGTTATTGACTTCTGTAATTATTGAGTATATCTAACTTTCAATAAGGAGGCCACTACCATAGAAAGACTGCCTGGTGAAATACAGAAATGCCGCATAACCATCGGCAATTCACTAGTTCATTCAACAAAAACAATGCTTTGCTGAAATGAAGTTACACCGAAGTTTAATTGAAGTGGTAACCCAACAGAACTGATGAACAATGTGGATAACACTTACCAGAGTCACAGAAAATCTGGTATCTGATTAGCGACCGATGTATGATTAGCTAAGCAACCAACAATAAAATGGATGGATGGATGGATGGATGCAGAAAAATCAGCACAAAATACCACGTTTGACACAACAATGTTCGGTTATTCGAGGTATTAATTTCCTTTTGTTCACTTACACATATAAGCAAACCGTCCCGGATTATTTTTACAAAATGTCTTGTTCTTGAATGCGACCGTCACATCCACGATACCTGGCAGATGACGCGGTGGAGTTTGAACGCGTAATGCGTGTGGTGTTAACAACTTAGGGATTGAGATGAATTCGGAGAAAAGAAGGAAAGGGAAAAAGAACAGCAGTATGAATAAACTTTTTATAGGATGTAATAACAATAATGATGACTGAAAAGGAATTTTTATTTTCCTTTTTTGTTGAATGTACATTGGTTGGAAAAATCTTCCGGAAGGGAGCTGAGGTTCATTGTAAGGCTGCCTTGGGATATCAAAATTATTGATCGAAAAGCTTAGTTTTTTCAGCACTTTCTCACCAAACATAAATTTCATCAGTTCCTTGATATTTTTTTATGTTCTGCTGAGAGATTTATGCTTGATCTATTTAATCACTGGACCTTCAAAAATAGGGAGTCGAAGAGTTTTTGGATTTCATGCGTTTGACTCATATATCTAACCTCACCGATCATCAACGGAAAGCTAGATGGGCATAGTGCTATAGTAACCTTCATGGGCGTAGAGTTAAGCTCCAGCGAGACTCCGAGCCTGTGTGGGACTGCTTTATGAATGAAGTAGGCCGCATAATAATTCATTTGAATTGTGTTTGTCCAAGCTACCATGTATACAGCTGATAAACGGATCTCGGAAACATTGGTTACCTTTCTACAGTATGTTTCATGAATCCCTCAGTGAAATTCCGATCAAAATTTACACTAAACTAATTAATAGTTAATATTCCGTTAGGAGATCGCGGCCTACCGATCATCGGACAGGAAGGTCACGGGACGAATTCTACCGTACGAATTGCAACAAGATTGGCTAATTCTACATACAACCTAATTAGCACTGCTCTGTAGTATTTCTCAGGCAGTAGTCAACCGCAGATTAATTATTTAAAGTTTCCACGTAAACGCCAGTGGTAAGATTTGAGACGAACGGTACTCGCTGTTGATGTTAATGCCGCTGCCGTTGACGATGATGATGATGATTATGATTATGATTATGATGATTTCACTCAGACCGCGTGGGTACTAGTTCTCCCAATGAAATGTGTTCATCGGCGTGGTATTCATACCACCTATCCACCTGGAGGGGATTATCTGTACCTTACAGAACATGTTCAACTAGTGTTGAGTGAACCGTTAAGCGGTTTCAGTTCGGTAAATTTAATTTATTCTTTCTTAGGAACCTATTGAATAGAAAGTTTTATATGATCAAAGAAAAATTAGGATTAAACAGCTAGTCAACTAGGACCAGTGCGACATATGATAGTCACAACATTATATGCGCAATGAGATTCACTATAAATCATGGCAGATTGCAGGAAAAGAACCGTTCTTCTGCGGTGGTAATTGTTTGTGATTCACTGTAATGAGTGCCATATTGCATCGTTCCCCTAATAAAGCGAATAATTTTATGAACAAACATATAGATCATACAAAGTTACTGGAACAAATTCATTATATTTAGAAACTCCCGCGCATCAACTGAGCTGGCAAAAATTGCTTCTCGGGATCAGTTTACTCAATGATGTTGGCTGATTAGAGTGAGGGTCGAAAACAACATCTATTCCCTTTCCCCGAGTGCGCATATTTTACTCGCATTCTGCCTTCACGCCACACTGAACGATCCGTTTAGTCGGATTCAATTCCTCATTGATTGATCGGAGTGATCGAACGGGAGTGGTCGGTAGATAATAATAACAACAAACAAAACTGAACCACAGAATTACAATGTTACCGGCTATGCAAGCCAAAATTAAAATGGAAATTTACTTACTTCTCCCCAAACCACGGTTGATCCGAATACGACCTGCAGTCCATGAAAGAAATTCTCTCCAATCACCGTGACCGTTTCTCCCCCGGTAATCCAGCCCTCGTTCGGGCTCAGGGCTTTGATAACCGGAGTAACAGTGGGACAAACTGTCAGGATAAAAAACAAAGACGGTGCAATGGAAAACTCTGTTATCGATCGAATAAAGCCATAAGTTTCGAATTATCTTCTCTTGGTAGGTCGACCCGATCAACCATTTTTCACATGAAACTTTGTTCATCACGGGAATTTTGTTCAGTCATTCAGATATTCTTCCGTTTACTTTACTAATATACCATACTAGTTTACCGCGGCATAAATGTCTCGCCCCACTCTACTGTCACAAGGGAAATAAGCATTTTACCCCCTCTATCTATAAATATGTATATATTGAAATAAGTAGTATCTGAATGACTTGACAATATAAATACAAGCTGATTCAATCGCCGACCAGTAAACCACATGTAGAGAGAGCATTCATAACTGAAATTCGAAATAATTCAGTTGTAACTGTATTTCGAAATTCCCATATTTGTTGCTGATCTTAATCAATGATAATTTGCCCCTCTTCACCGGTGACAGTGAAGGTATAAACTTAAGGTATTTAATGCCATACTTTGAAGTCTTCAAAACGTAAACTGATTGTCCTTGTTCATAAAATATCCGAGCACGTGTGTGTGTATTTGTGTATGTAAGAGCGTTCTACCACAATTCTTACTCCGTCTGAATTCTAACGAACAATAAACCTTTGACGCGCTATTCCCTGTTCGTAGATCGGTCACGTCCAAACATGAGAGCAATTGGGATGGAATTGGCAGGGCGGGAGGGAGAGCAGAAGGGACGAGTTGGTGTGGCTTCAGAAATGAGACCGTTCGACCATCGTTGTCCAGCTCAGACGGTGCGATAAGGTCAAACAACCTATCGGATTACGGACACATGCTGCACCGGCGAGGATGACAAACACATTAGGCACGCTTCATTAGTTTTGCATTCTAGCTAGCCCTGAGGCATTTACACCCAAAAACTCGACCAAACCACCACAGACTATAGTAGAGAACCAAAAGTCTCTTGTGGTTAGCCGTTCGCTCAAGCGGCAGCATAGTCTTTCTCACATGCTAATTAGATTCATTGTTTAATATATATCAACAACTGTAATAATAGTTATTAGCATGTCCTGACCGCAATTCGATCGNGAGTGACAAAAACGTATACGGAATCGTGTTACTCCTCACATTGAGCTCAATCAGATGTCTCGGCGAAAATGCTTTTAAATGACAGTGAACTCTCCAAGTTCTATGAAGCTAGTGTGTTCTAGTTCTACTGTCGGGTAAATTAGGGAATACAACATTTTCCGAAGTTTATTAACTCCAATAGTCCATTGGGGTAGACTACAAAATAACTTAATGTCGTTAAAGTTGGTGGTGGTCAAGCGGTTTAGCATGATGTCAATGGTCCGAGCCAAACATTCTGAANGAAATTCGTATCCCGCCACTCATATCAGACTGATCAGTAGCCCCGTTTCAGCCCGATTTCGGTTACATTCTGGCGTGTTTGAACATTAATTCCTCGTGTCTATGAGTTAATCGTTTGTACGATTCAGTGCATAACGATTTCAAGGCAGCGCATAAATTCTGGTAAATTTCAATCCAGTAGACTAAATCGCTATTGTTTACCAACTGGTTACTACCACTGATGTCAGAAAAGCCACTATACCGGTAGTCCTACTTGATGCAGTGTCGTAATTCCCTCATATTTGTTGTGACCTTAAACGGGTGGTCACTCAGAGGCTCAGGACTATGAATCCCAACTGGTCTTGCTGTGTATAGAAGCTTCTCGGGAATTCCTTCCTTTCCCTGTGGACTGTGTATCATTTGATAAAATCGGGGTTACATTAGCTGCGATAGATTCCACAAGAAGCTAAATACGTTTGGTATTTCCTATAGACATTGCGAACTATGCCACATAAAAACTAGGATTAAAAATCTGTGATAAATGAGACCCCTTCCTATTTTTTTCTCGATATTGATATTTGCACGGTTTTCGCGCAAACAAACTCCACTTTTACTTTGACGCGATTCCCGGTTTCAAGTGGAGTCCCCAATACCATTCAAGTGTATTACAAACCGAATTTTCAAAGTTTCGCGGCACCATATACGAAGTTACCATGATCGCACATTTCGATGGGTTGGGACCTTTACGTTGAAACGCAGAATGAATGTGAGATTGGTGGTGATGATAGAGACATTAGGAGTTTGCAGGGAAATTGACGAACAATAGGTGAATGTGTATAATGCTGTGAAAATCAGTTGTTGTGGTTGCTGAGTGATATAAACAAGTGAATCGGTGATTTCAGTAAGCCTAACCCAAAAGGTAAATTATCACGCATATGGAGGAGTGTGCACAAAAGGAACTTATACGTGGCTGATCTAGTGTGATTTCAACAAGAAATTGGATGGTTACAGAATAGAGGTAAAATTTGAGCTGCTACACATAAAATGTGAACCAGTGTAACCAGCCTCCCGATAGTGAGCCTCCGGATTCTACTGGCGGTAGTTCAAATCTGGCGAAAGTTCTCTGCTTTCTCCTTTGTCTGGCGCACGAGCTGAGGCCTGGAGAGAAACGGATATTTTGAAGAATACCATATGCACCCCGTGTCTAGCAATTTGTTTAAATGGATGTTTGATCTGTATCAAGTGGTGGTTAAGCGGCTAGGGCTACCAACTTATCGCTTCGGAGGACGTGCACGTGCGTTTGAATCCCACGAGCATCACCGCCCAACTTCACCCATCTACTGCTTTTTTATAACCTCTCTTTAGATTGGTCATTTCTCCGTTCCTGACACCTCTCATCATATAAATTCAATAGAAGGAAGCAAAAATAAAGTCGTGTAAACTAAAAATAGCTCACTTATATCTTCCACACGTGACTGGTTAGCCTTTTTGATGACGACACACAAATATCGATCACATCCATTTTTAATTAATCTGTTTATGGGTCTAGTAGACTCATAAACTTACCGTTGTAGTTGAATGATTGAGGATGATTATATCAGGATCCCTCCGATCACACTTAGGAAAACAAAGATATATTGTGAACTGGTCGAGCGGAAATCCACAAACATACCGGTCAAGGTAACGGACTTCGTAAACTTTAGTCCATGATTTATTTCATCGCGAATATCACCATTTCAGACGCACAGTGATGCCCATCGGTGCTCGGTTTTCAAGCTGATATTTACTATGCGTTATGCAGGTACTTGTAGTCAATAACTCTATCCCGCAATCAACATTGACCTTACTTTATAATCCTCAAAACTGTATAACCGTTTTTCCCTGTAGAAGCATGTGAGATTAGTTGATAAACCAACTAAGTGAATCGTTATGTTGAAATTTCATGTATTGCCAGTTATTAATCATGCCCACCAAAACTTCCGTCTTGTTAATCCAAATTGAAAATGAAACAACAACTGGCGCAATGAAGTGAGTTTTTTTGTTCGTATTCTCTAGAGTGGACCAAACGTGAAGGAGGATCGTTGATTAAGGAGTGCTTTTCAAAACCGGAACTTTGCCTGATGAGTCGTTGAATATTTATGCATTAGCCTGTGATTCTCTATTTCACTGGACCATCTGGCTCGTTTCGATTGTTTGTGAACGAGAAAGATGTCTCTTTAGTGGTCATCCCTTTCGCCCTCCAACCCCCCCCCCCTCTTCTCTGCGTTCCTGTGTTCTTCCACTCTACCATATCGCAGCTGCCTGAAGAACCACGTACAAGCACTTTCATTTTCATCAATATTGACGACAAAAATCGCCCTCATAATTCTCTCTACCTGCCAACCAAACACCACCACCACCTGCTTCCCTTCCCTCGTCTTCAGTTCTACCACCCTCTAAATTCCTTCCCAGATGGGATTGAGTGGCACAAACTCGACCCCATAATGCGTTCAAAACTATAGCTTCTATGGGAATGAAGGCCAATTGAAAGGAAAGAAAATTGGGGGAAAACTTTCACTTCGGTCCTTTTCGGTTTGAATGATTAAACGACATATGGTACCACGAACAGTCAACCGGCCCCAGTGTCCTTACATCAACCACTGGCAGTACTGCTCAAAGCACAGGGGGATTGGCATGTTACGAGGTTGAAATTGGAATACGGCCAGAATCATTCCTCGCCATGTTTCTGTCAGCACGTGCCTGAAGTGTTTCACGAACTAACTAACGCCCAGTTCTCTGCCGGTCTATGGGTGCTATCCTAACAGAACGTCAATGCGCATACGCAGAAACCCCTCTCGAAGGTGGAGAAGTAAAATGTTTGAAAAGATTACAGATGGTTGTATTTTTTAGTCATTCCTAAAGCAAAAGCAGATTTCAAGATCAATCAAACAATAGGGTTTTTAGCAAAGGGATTCAAGTAAAAGTTTTTGAATTTCAAGCATTCTTATAAAATGTGCTATCCAGAGCGATTTAGTGGAGGAAGCAGCATTGTATATCCCTCTTGTTCTAATCCTCCTGCGACAGGAGGAAAGCTTTCATTGTATAACACTCAAGTGTAATGGATAAACAGCAACGGTAGCCATAGTTGAATAAAACCTAAGGGTGATCCTAGCCACATAGTATCAGGGAAATTTATCTACGACAGATTGATCTTCCAAGGCGCTCCTAGACAAAATGATTCACACTACAAAATTGACTCGCACATGATGTGAGCAGTTCTACCTGTACAACTTCGTATCCTATTTCATACCACACTACGGATTACCGAAAACAGGGAACATGGTCATTTACCATGGTCTGCATCACATTGGGTGCATCTATTTACCTGCAATGCGGTCAAAATGACATTGACAGAGCAAACCGATGACTACCAAAGGGAATAAATTTGCGTATGCCTAGTTCCATTGTATAACATAAAAAACCCATTTTACCCGGGGGTCCACCATGATACCGAGCAACAGAAAACTCACAGTTCAGACACTTCTGGTATGGAATACTCAGAAAAATTATCAAATCTTTATAAGGAATTTTTTTATAGGGTTTGGTTGTCAGAACCTATATGAAATAGTGCAGTGCAGGTAGTTATCGTAGGACGCATGTCAACTTGAGATTCCAGCAAT